ACACACACACACACACACACAGAAACACAGACAGACAGACACACACACATCCTTGGTCAGAATAAACTCACCTAAGTAGCTTTCTTCTCAACTTCTCCTCTGCTTTCTCTTTCTGAGCTGAGGTCAGACTCTCAGCCTCTGCCAGGTTGTCAACTGCGATGGCCAAGAAGACATTTAGAAGGATATCTGGTTGTGGAATGTTATGGAAAAAAAAAAAGACTTGGACAATATTGGTATCCGTATGTGGCTTAATTTGAACACTACCGACTGTTAAAGGATACAGTTTCCACAGACGAAGAGGACAATAAAATAGATGGAGACCAGGATGCCGGGGAAAACAGGTCCTCCATACGCCATAATACCATTATACATAATAGTGGTCCAGTCCTCTCCTGTCAGGATCTGAGAAAAGAAGTAAAGGAGGCAAATTACATGTTAGATGGATCTGATATATAATTTTTAATAGTATAGTATACTTGTTTGATTCTGACATGACCCTATATACACAGTTCCATTTTAAAGTAGCCTTAAATTATTAAATTATTAGGCTGAAGTATTAGTAACCTCCATAGATAGGGACTGCTCCTGATTTATTATATACATATATATACACATATATACTTATATATACATAAATACATACATACATACACATACATATATAGTTTATAAATAAAAATGTATATACTTTTTTTTTATACAAGTAAAATTAGGAAATAGTTTATAAATAAAAATGTATATACTAAGTAAAATTAGGAACATCAGTTTATATAGGTAAAAGGCTCTAGATATGACCATGAATACTACATCAATTTATATAGGTAAAAGGCTCTGGATATGACCATGAATATTATTCTCTTGAATTCATTTAGGAAAATAAAATTGTTAGAGATGAATATTGTCATTAAATATTAAGAAAAAATAAATGTTCTTACAAATTTGTGACGAATTTGTATGAATAACTTAAAAAAAGAAATAATAATAATAATGTAATCCATGATAGTTTGACCCTAAGCCTCGCACATTGTGTTTGTAGTCATAAATACCTGGAACACACTGATCAGAGCCTGAGGGAAATTATCAAAGTTACTGCGTCTGAGCCTGTGGTCGGGGAAGTTGAATTTTCCTCCAAAGACCTGCATGCCCAGCAGGGAGAAGATGACAATAAAGAGAAAGACCAGGAGGAGGAGAGAGGCGATGGAGCGGACTGAGTTGAGGAGGGAGGCCACCAGATTATAGAGAGAGGTCCAGTACCTGTAAAGAAGGGGAGAGAAGTATTACTGTGAATGACAAGAAAGAATACCTTTAAACCTGTACAAGTAGGTTTGACGGCAGACGTTGGAGGCGACTGGACGTACTTTGTGACTTTGAAAAGCCTCAGCAGTCGAATACACCTGAGCACAGAGAAACCCAGCGGAGCCACGGCCCCTGCGGACAACATGATCATCTCCAGGATTCCACAGAGCACCACGAAGAAGTCGAAACGGTTAAACAGTGACATGAAGTATGCCCTGGGTCCCAGAGCGTACATCTTTATAAACATCTCAAGGACAAACAGCACCAGCAGGACACGGCTAACAACGTCTGTGGAGAGCAAAAAAAAAAAGGTATTCATATAGTCTATTTAATAAAAACATATATATACATATACATATAACATATATAAACATATAAATATATCATTAATGAACCATCAACCTTGAATAGTTGTCAGCCCGTCAGGCTGGTGGTGGTACTCTGTGGCGATGCTCAGGGTGTTTAGGAAAACAAGGAACATCACCAACCAATAAAAGGCTCTGGTTTTCACATACACCAAACACTTCATCCTGAAAAAACGATTCCAGCGCCGAGCCAGACGGCTGAGCACAAACACAGAAAATCACAGGGATTACTGTGACAGGCTGGGGTGGAAATAGCTTTCGTTTTTCTTTTTTTAACCTTTGCACATTTATGAAATGTCAGACTTACTAGTAGTAGACAATTCGACTTTTGCCCTCCAGGTCGTACAGACTGTCTTTGTCACCGTCACTGGTCAAAGGCAACAGACCTGAGGTATGAGAAGTGAAGTTTTGGACAAAGTTTAAAGGTATTATTAACAGTGATATGTAGTAATATACTATATTGATTATATTATTTTAGGTAGTATTAAATAACATTTGTAAAGTCACAGTACTATAAAAAGAAAACATTATTGATTGTGTCAAATGGAGAAAGTGCTGTCAATAATAACAATGATAAAAAGTCAAAGCTACTGCAACATCTGCTGTGAAGCCTCCACTACCAAGTCATTCATTGAAAACATGACAGAAAACTCGGAGGTGGTTCAGAAACGATTTATTTTTCTCGTGTTCAGAAATAACTCTAGAAAGTACTCTAGTTACTCTTCAAGTTACTGTCCTCACCTTTACCCTCCCGGTCTGCATCGAGGACCTCAGCATGTGTGATCCACTCCATGTAGCCGTGAAGATCCTCATCCAACTGCTGACGTTCACGTAACTTCTGGAACTCTCCACGGGAGCGGGCCTTCTCTCTCTCTTTGGTAAACTCACTTGGTGAAGTGACAAAAAAACCCTCTCTTTGGTAAACTCACTTGGTGAAGGGACATAAAAAAAAACAGTAAATATTAAAGTTTCTTCTTGGTTTGTTGTTGACGTTGATATCAGGATAAAGACTTACCCACTGAGAACACCCAGAACAAGGTTTAGCACAAAGAAGGAACCCAGCAGGATGAGAGGGACAAAGTAGAGCCAGGGCCATTCATTTCCTATGGCGTCATTAATCTGTAAAAACCAAAGTCATCAGTGACAAACACTATAATGATATCATAAAGATGTTCGCGGCCACTGACCCAGTAGAGCACTTTGGTCCATCCCTCCATGGTGATGCATTGGTAGACAGTCAACATGGCGAAACCTATGTTGTCAAAGTGAGTGATGCCTTCGTTGGGACCTTCCCAGTTCGGTCGACACTCAGAGCCGTTTATTATGCAGCGTCGGCCGTTACCAGCCTGGGCACAGGGAGCAGGCTGCTCACCCTCTGCTATGGCATAGAGGTCTGAGGGACAAGGATGGGACAAGGATGGGACACATATCATAAATATTTTGACGGTTTGCATTTCTGGTTCAGATACTTCTACGTACTTGTGCCACTGTAGTAGCAGGTTTTATGCATTTTGCACTTGAAGAGTTCCAGCCCCATGATGGCAAAGATGGTGACGAGTAAGAAGACCAGCAGGGCGATGTGGAGCAGAGGCAGCATGGCCTTCAGGATGGAGTTCATCACCACCTGCAGGCCTGGAGGTGAAAAGAAAGAAGTTAAGATTCCAAAAGATTAGAGAGAAATAGTTTGGTTCAGTAGAAGCCGAGTCGCTCACTGGGAACTCCAGAGACGAGACGAAGAGGTCGCAGCACTCTGAAGGCTCTCAGCGCCTTCATGTCAAACCCTCCGCCCTTCTCCACTGGTGTGCCTGCTATCTTATTGATGGTGTCCACAGCAAAGGTGAAGAGACTGTGGAGAAACAGGAAAAATAACCTAAGAAAAGTGTTCAGAGTTCTAATTTGGACCAGATGGTTTGTTTGTGAGCGGCAGTAACAGTAGCAGATACAGAGTCGTGTCGTTTGGCACCAGTGACATCCACCTGCAGGGGGCAGCTCGTCTTACCCCATGAAGACGATGACAAAGTCCAATATGTTCCAGCAGTTCCGTAAATAGGCACCTTCATGGAAAACGAACCCGTACGCTACTATCTTGAGAAAGCACTCTAATGTGAAGATGATCATGAAGATGTACTCCAAACTCTCCTGCAGGAAAACAAGCAGAGAGCAGAGCCACAAATGACACGTTAGATAATAGATGACGAATGTTAGATATCTGACATTCAAACCTAGGGTTCCAGACTGTGGTTAGTGATAACTTTGGCCTTTAAGGCAGTGAGAGGGAGAACAGCATAATTAAAATAAATTAAATTAAAAGAACAGCATAATTAAAATAAATTAAATGAAATGATTTCATTGATTCATATATTTTATATTATTGTTATTTTTTCTTTTTTACATTTTATGTATTTATTTGATTTTTATCTTTTTATAATTCTCATAGTTTAGAATTACTCCAAACTGAGTATCAAGTAATGTTGCGTGATGCTTTCTGTAACCAAGTTATGAGCTGATGGAAATATGTGATATTTTATTCATACAGTATAATTGCACTCACTTAATATAAAATATTAATGCTCTTTGGGTCACGTCTCGTTCCTACCAGCAAGTGTGTAAATTCCTGGCTTTGTTTTTGTTTTGGGGACATTTTAAAGGTCACTGAGACGGCATGGAGGTTTGAGGTTGAAGATTTAGTTTGGAAGTAGGATTAGAAGTAGTGTCAGATTAGGGTTAGAGTAAAAATCAGGATTAGGCTTTTAATTTTAGGGTGAGGGCAAAAGGCGGAGGAACAAATAATGTCAATGTGACATTATGTTTCCACACAGTTTCCAGTGTGTGTGTAGATGGATTGATAGGCTCCTCTTTCATTGCTCACCTCTGAAGCCTGGCTACAGAAGTAAGAAGGGACCGTGAGCTGGTTGGTGAGCCGGCCAAAGTAAAGATATCAAAGCAGCGGCTGAGTTCAGTTTCAATCCCTAAAAACCTGATCGTTTTTCATGTGGTGTGTACTCCAACTGGGTGAATGCTCTGAAGATTTATCCTGGTGATATGTGGAGTAAATGAAGTACACGAGTGTACAGAGGCTGTGTACATGAAGTACAGGACACCTGGCTGTGTTAACGTCACGCTTTGACAAAGCTCTACAGTACTGTATTTAAAAACATAAGTAATTTTCAGCAGTCAAACAGAGCTGTCTGGAAGATAGAAAAAAAAAAGATTTTAGTAGTTTCATTCTTTCCTTCTTTACTGGCACGATATTTTTCTCCTTGTTGTGTTATTTAAAATATGCAAGATGAAAAAAATACAGATGTAATCTATATATTATATATCTACACCTTTTATCTATTTACAGTCTAAATCCGTGCAGTAACACATGTTTTGACACATCTCCAACAGCTCACAGTTAAATCATTATATATTTTTTATAAGTGTTTATCTAGGTCATGTTTTTATTTGATCTGTTTTTTCAGAACTAACATCACGTTTTTGACTAAACTGAATTGAAAAGCTACCAGTGTTATTAAAGCTTTTCAACAGGTTTTGATGTAGTTTAATCTGACTTTTTTCTTTTTTAAAAATGTGAACTCCATTTCAGTCCTGAAACAAGGCGAAAAATATTTTAACCAAGAAAGAATTCTCAGATGCAAATGTCTCTAAACCCAAAGAAAATGAAAAATATTGACGCACAGAAAGTTGATTAAATATTAAGTGTCTTAAAACGTATTGACTTCCCATCAAAAACTATAATAATTGACTTCTGATCTTTCTCCGTTGTTTTACGTCAGTGACTGATCAGTGAGGGAAAAATCCAAACACATTCCCGTCTGATGACACAGACACAGATGCGACTCCAAAACAGGGAAGTGATTCGTGTCTGGAGGCATTTCTGCAGAGCCTTACACAGAGATCAGGGACTAAACAGCCGGTGGATTAAAGCAGCAGAAGTTCATTAGTGAAGATTCTTTTCTTCTGATAGCAGATTATGAAACACAATATTCCCATCTTTAATATAGAGCCTGAGGTGACACACGTTACTTTGATCCACTGAGATGTATGACGTACACTGAAGTATTATACTCACCAGGCTGGAGTTGGTGTTGTTACTGTCTTCTTCAGGCATGGGCAGGAACACAGCCAGGGCAATACAGTTTGCAAAAATGGTCAGTAGGATGATGATCTCAAATGTTCTGGATAAAAAGGCTCAGGAACATAACAATAACACATGAGAGAATCTCATTACATGACTTGACTGTAGCTGTGTCAACATGGGCGGGGGGTGGGGGGGTTGAAGTAAATAAATGACTGTCAACTGAGTGACTTATTTTGTAGATTTTGTGACGTGAACTAATACGAATATATAATGTGACACCTGTAGAGACTCTGCCATCACAGATCACTGCCTTCAAATGCTGCCTGAAACATCACACCTACACCAACCACCGGAGCGTTCAAATATACTGTAATCTTGTCTGCTGCACCGCTACATTCTCACCCACAGGGGGCTATCTGGGAGAATTCCCCTGCTGGGTCAGCATCATGTCTGTGTGTGATGCAGAGGGACAGCTGCAGAGACCAAGAATATGACTGAACCTTTTTAACACAGACTACTCATCAGGAATTTAAACTCTCAAACTATTCATTTATTTATTCACGTTTATAAAAAAATAATAATTGTTTAAGGCAATTTAGTAGCTATGAGTAAATTATTTTATTGTTACTGATGCAACATGTTGGATTCAATCTTAGCTCATTTACTCACATGAAGATTTCAAACTAGTTGTATCTGGTAAAAAAAAATTATAAATAATGTCATTCAAATGATTAACTTAATCTCTGGTCGATGGAAAATATCATAGACATCAGGCTAAAAACTCAGGCAAATCCCCTATAGAGGCCACAACATCACTCAGTGTCCTGCATGGTGTTCATATGTAGTCAGCGGTGGCAGCCAATAGAAACCATTTCCACATTAATATCAGAATGACAGCTGCCCCGGTCACTGAAATAACAGCCTCACTAAAAGTGGGTGGAAAAACATTATCCTACATATGAAGGTATAAAATCCAGGAGAGACAAACCTTGACATTGACAATGAGCCAAATGCACAACAAACATCTTATCACTGCAGAAACCGCTTCATGTGATTTAAAAGACTTGGCTTCATTCCTAACCACTACCATAGGTGCTGTAAAAACTGTGCAATAAATATATTATGAATATCTCAGACAATATAATTGAATTATGAAAAGAGAATGTGTGTTGTGTTCAAGGGAGCGTCAAAGAACACAGTGGTACATGTCTGTGTCTGTGTCTCAGGGCTGATAATAATCAAAATAAAAACAACTGATTCCGGGCTGATAATAATCAAAATAAAAACAAAAACAACTGATTCACATAGTTAATATGCAAACATTTAAGGAAACGTAATTAGTTTCATAGTCAAGTGACATTGAAAATGATCATTGACTAGGTAATATATCCAGTTGTTGACTAGTGCTGTAGTTGACTGGTCATCAGTTAATGACCTGAATCAGTTTTCACCAACTCAATCTGAGGACTGCTCTTAAAGTGAGCTTTAGTTTACATTCAAGGAAATGTTACGGTAACACAGGTGGGAGTTACGACGTGTGTGTGTGTGTGTGTGTGTGTGCACTAATGTGTGTGTGTGTGTGTGTGTGTGTGCGCACTAATGTGTAAAATATTTGAGGATACTTCCACTCCACGATGTTGATGCAGGCCTTGCGGAAGGGGTTCTTGAGGTTGAAGAGGAACAGGGACCTGGCAGGACGAGGGTTGCCTCCCGTGGCCTGCAGCTTCTTCAGCTTCTCCCTCTGCTTCCTCTTTAGCTCCTCTTCGTTCATGATGACCGGCTTGGCAGCGTCTGCGTTGGCCGCCATCTTGGTACTTCCACTTAAAATGAAGAAAAATTAGTCCACTTTTTGTATAATCCCAGGCAGGGGTACAGTGTACTCCCGCCCTGTGGTGAAGGCCTGTGGGCTCCTGACCTGCTGCCCTCTCTCCCCTTCTGCCTCTTCCTCTCCCTCAAGCAGACTCAGGGCTCTTCTCCTGGCTAAGGGCCGTTGACAGAAGAAGCCCCCTCCCTCCTTGGGCAGGGAAAAATAACAGGGGCCCAGAGTGGCTGGAGGAGCAGTTGGCCCTGCTGTGGTTTAAATTTAGACTGTGAACCACTGACAGGCCATGCTTGGGGATGGTTATCAGGCTGGAGTGGGTAGAACAGGGAGGATGGCATCTCGGGGGTTGGTGCACGATGGTAGATGGTGGAGGAGAGTATGAAGTGG